CTATGAGTCGCAAGCGACTCGAAGGCACATAACAACAACAACAACATCTGCTTGTGCAATTGCAACGCCAGTTTTAGGTCATTTTCTGACACATAACACATGGAAGTTTAAGGTCTATTTTATACAGTATTTAGCAGATAGTTATTAAATTCCTTCTATTTATATAGGAATCACTCATGGCTTAGTCCTTAGGGAGTTGCACACTATGTCTGGGATTTACTTCCCTGGAAAATAAAAATGACTACTACAGGTTGACTGCTAACTGCCAAGTCTACATGGAAGTGCCTTAAAGGAAAAGCGTAGTGGCCCCACTCAAAACAGTCTGTGACAAAAAACTGAAAGCAGTGATGCTAACATTCATATGTGCGATAATGCTCATTCCTATACTATTCACAATAGTCCAAAGATAGAACTATCCAAATGTCTATCAATTGCTAAAAGGATAAATAAAAACATAATAACTATTACCCTTTTGTAAAGATAAATGACGTTTTGATGCATTCCATAAGATGAATACACTTGAAAACATTGCTAGGTAAATTAAGTCAGTCACAGAAATAGAAGTGTTTTATCTTCTCATCCAATATAATACTGTTAAAATAGGCAGATATATGAAACTCAGTGTTCAATAGTGGTTGTTATGCATAAGAGAAGATGAGGATCTGAAAAATCTTCTTTTCTCTAAAGTTAAGTTTGTTGATACAAAGCAAAAATATAAATTTGATAGTGGATATAGGCAATGAATTATTGTTGTTACATGACATGGAGTTGCTAGTGACTCTTAGCTACCCTATGTACAACAGCCCTAAACCCTCTCTGTCCTGTGCCAATATAACTGTCTCCAACATACCCACACTAATTAAACCAGTCACTGAATCAATCCACCTCATAGAAGGTCTTCCCCTCCTGCACTGTCCTTCTACCCTCCCAAGCATGATGTCCCTCTCCAAGGACTGGCCCCTCCTTACAACATGTCCAAAGTATGTCAGACGAAGCCTCAGAATCCTTGCCTCCAAGGAGCAGCCCAGTTTAACCCTCTCCAGGATTAACCTGTTTGTTTTCTTATCAGTCCATGGAATATTCAATACTCTTCTCCAACACCACAACTCAAAGGCATCAATTCTCCTTCTAGCCTCCCTAGTCATTGTCCAACTCTCTGATGCATAACAAGTGATTGCAAAGACCATGGCCTGTATCAGGCATTAATTGAATTAGACAAGCAAAAAGAATGTTTACTTGGCAAATACTGCATTGCCTATAGCATAACTACAACAATAAGAAAACTATTGAGTGCAATTCTGTTCTTACACATATAAAGTCATCATAAGTTGGAATCAACTCCAAGGGAACTAATAAAAAGAAAATAATGTATAAAGCACAGCGATAATGACACTAATACGTGGAAGAAGACCAAACAGAATCCTTTACAATAGAAGTTTCATTTTAATAAAGGAGAAATGACAAGTATTCAAATATTATAATGAAGACTCTTATAAGAAATATGTTCTTATTGTTATATGACATCGAGTCAAAATTTACTCATCCATCACTGAACTTCCAGAAGGTTTTCAGACACTGTATATCATGTAGGAGATTGCTCATCTTCCTTCCATTGAGCAGCTGGGGAATTTGAGCCTTGCATATTTAGGTTGACAGCACAACTCCTTACAATTCAACCACAATGTTTTTAAGAATCTTGTTTGAGTTTAGGTAGAGGAAATAAAATATGTGTATGAAAACTTAGAAACAAGTGTTTGTTGTTTTTCTAATTGCACTAAATCTAGGTTATGAAAAATGAAATTGAAAAACATTCTTTCTCAAGATATCATGTAGACCAATTCAAATTAACATAATTGTTTAAATTCATTAGCAATAGTAGGAAGCACTGGTGTATAGTCCACAGGGAGTTGGGATGCTAATGGAAAGGTGACACCTCTCTAATTCCATAGGAGGAAGATGAGCAATATTTTCCCACTCAGTTTACAGTATTGGAAACCTAATGGAGGATCAAGTGAGTCAGTTCTGACTAGAGAGCAAGAAGATAGTGAATGAGTTTGGAAAGGACAGAGAAGCATTAGAATATGTAACCTCCATTCTGTGTATAGAGGGTAAGCAAATATACGGAAGGGGTGCAGCAAATGAAAAACACACATTCATGGGTCATTATTTGTGAACTTGACTAAAATATACCTCATACATGCATGACCAGTTTTTAAAATAATGCAATTTTTTTTTCTCTTATCTGTCAAACATAGATATGAATATGTACACTTAACATTCTCTCAACCACCATTATTCATGTGTAAATTGTACATGTATTAAAATTAACTAATGAAATCTGCACAGAAAGTATTTTCTGTGTATTACAATTCACAATGCAAATAGTATTTGTTTAACCTTTATCCCATAATAATTTCCTATCTTTTCCCAAATACTTATAGCAATAATTGACATTTTATTTCTAATTACACTCATACTCACATGCATACAGTAATAGCATTATTATTGTACAAGATATCAACGTACCTGAAAATGTAATGTTGAAACCTTCGTAGGAAATTGAAAAGTCTGATATAAACCGAAGTTGAGCAGTGAAGTTTCCAAACAAACCTGCCTTAATAGTATGGGGCAACACAGAGCCCGTAAGCCTGGCTACAGGCTCTGTAAAACTCCCATCCTCTGTGATCAGTAAATAGTCATGGGAACTCTCAAGGTGAAAAGTGTGAAAGATCATCTGAACTCCTGGTAGAGAGAAAGAGAGATTAAAAACAAAACATAATAAAATTTTAAAGACATATATTCCATTGTCTTTTATTATGAACTGTAGAAAGGTAACAAGTTACACAAGTTTGTGGTATTTTCTTGAATATATTTCAAAAATATGATAGAAAATTTGTTTAGTATTTTTTTTCTGTTTTATACATCCAACTAAAGTAAACTTGTTGGAGTAATTGAAATTCAACAGGTTCATCATCAACTCCTCTCCTTGCCTTCAAATCACCAACTCATAACTGACTTCCAGCTATAAACCACATGGAAGGAAATTATCCATCTTTCTTCCTGAGGAGCTGCTGGTCAATTGAGATTGCCAGAAAAGTGCCTCTTTTGAATTAGGAGCATATCTATAGATTATGCCACCAGAGTTCCCATTCCCATTATTGAGTAGAGTGTGTTTAAATCAATATTTAGCCTTTTCTATTATTATTCTCAAACTGCATTTATACTTGTGGACAAGGAATTAACTGACTGTCAACAATACAGCTAACACTATTTTCCTAGTAGCAAAGCTTTCTTCTCTGTCCTACTTCCCCACAGCCAGCATGGCAAAACAGTATTCATCATTATTTCTATAACAGTTTTTATGTGTTTAATATTTTCATTGGTCTCCTTGTTTTAATTTATAGCTATTATATGTTTAAAAATACTTTTTAGGTTGCAGAAGGAAAAATCTTAAATTAAGATATTAAATGTGTATGTAATCAAACGCTGACAGTTAAGAGGAATATAGAATGTTGTAGTTGTTCTTTGTATATTCTATGTGTATAGTCTCATATTAACTGTACCCACAAATTATTTTCTGAATATTCTAGATAGAGAAAATGAATGACATTTCAAAGTTTTGTGTTTAGAAATCATGAGTAGTCCTCATACTAATTCAACTTTATTCCTACATCCTTTTAGACCTCGGTTCTTCTTTTACTACATATTAATGTTAACATTGTGTAATAAGAGTGTGCATAATGATATATGTCAATTTAATCTATAACTGAGTTCAGAAATACCTGGAAATATCTAGCCTATAACATAAAAACTACAAATTTAGTCATAAAAACCTGAGGATAGGATTTTAAATGTAATCTATGCAAGTTATATTCCTTTAACAATTGTAAATATCTTAAGGTTTCATTATATTCATATATAAAGTATAAATAACAATAGTGCCTCTGTAAAACATCTCTAGAGCCTGTGAAGATAAATACTGTTTTATTTATAATAGTTCTGGATAAACTTAATATTTAGAAATCCAGAATTTCTCTAGAAATTGTAACTTAATTATTATTTTTATTTATATTTAAAAATTTACACTTTTTAGTCTATATCGCTATTCCTTAAGGTTATGCCTAATTTTCAAGTTTACATTTTAGCATTTGAGTAATATACAGTGACAATTATATTTTTCTGTGTAAATATCAGGTCAAATGTTATAAAAAACCAAACTAACAATCATAAAAAATAACTATTAAAAATTAACTATTGAAAAAAATACACACAAAAAAGTGATTATTCTAATTCACAGATTAATACTTTTTTATGCTGGTATATTTTTAGATTTTACTAGTTTGTATATGTAAAATCATATCATATTCTTACCCTTCCCATGAGAAACTTCAATGGTCCATGTACAATTCAGAGAATTTGGGTAAAAATCTGGAAAGCCAGGAGAAAGGACTGTTCCACTCTTCCCATGGATGTAGCCTCCACAGAGGGCTTAAAACAACAAAAGAGAATAACTTTTATAATTTTTCATAAAAATTCCTAGGATAAAATAATGTTAAATAACATTGCATTGTTGTTGTTGGCCTCTGAAAACCCTATGAACAATAGAGGAACACACATTTGTATAAAGCTTAAAAAAAATCTAATGTCATATCCATGGACATTTGAATTAAAAAAAGCAAAAGTTCATTTTTCTTGCAATTATAATGCTCCAGGAAATAAAAGAGCATCTTAAATAGTAGAAAACCTAGGAAAATAGCACCTATTAAGGAATGAAATTCTCTAAAGAAGGCACTAGTCATTAACAATCTGAGTTATGCAGATGCCACAACCTTGCTTGCAGAATAATAAAGAGTGAAGCATTTACTGATGAAGCTTCAGTATGTATTATGTACTTCAACATTAAGATAATAAAAAACAATCATAATTTGACCAATAAATGTCCTGAGAAGTACAGAAACGGCTGAGATTGTCAATGATTTTATTTGAATCAACAATCAGTATCCATGGCAGCAGATTTATTACAATGTGAAAATATACTGCCAGGGCTGTCTTTAAAGTGCTTAAGAGAATAGGCTGTTATATTAAAAAACTTCCTTGAAGGCATCTAAACAACATTATCAAAGCATAAAAAGTGATATAAAGCCTGAATTGTCCACCCATGTAGAGTTGCAGAGAAGATGCAAATTTCCATTAACTAGCAATGCTGATCTTGAACTTAAATCCCCTACATTATAATAAACTAATTCCAAATTGCCTAAAATTTAATTTTTAACCAGAAGACTAAAAATCGTGATAACAGGAAAGTAATGACTTTCAGGAGATCAACATACTCTAAAATTTTAAATGTTCAGACTCTGATATCATAAATCTGTAAGTTCAAAACTTGATTCTCCTACCCTCTAGCTCTGTGACATTGACCAGCTACTTACTTTCTCTGCTCTACTAGTGTGTGTGTGTGTGTGTGTGTGTGTGTGTGTGTGTGTGTAATAAAATTTGACAATATCCATTTCATAGCATAGGTATTTACAGTAACCAATGTTACAGAATACAATGTGCAGTTTCTGAGCCCTGGTGGTTCAAGGTTAAGAGCTAACAAAATTTGGTGGCTCTTAATGATCCCACCAGGAGAGAAAATGTAGTCGTTATATTCAATAAAATTACAGCTTTGGAAACTCGGTGGGCTAACTCTGTTTTATCTCATAGGGTCTCTATTGGTCCTAATCAACTGGACTGGTCAACAATAACAATTATACACACACACACACACACACACACACACACACACACACACATACACACAGGAGTTCTTGGGTGGTAAAAAATATAAAAAATGGTTGAAGTGCTGAGATCTTTAACAAAAGATTTGAGATTCATGTTCACATAAAAACACTGAGAAAGAAAGACTTCATTATTTATTTTAAAAAATCAGATATTGAACACTCTCCTGAGGAAAGTTTTACTTTAACATATATAAAGTTGTCAAGGAATGGAAAATGGTTTCTAACATAGTAAACACCAAATATTCATTACCAAATATTCAAAAGCACATGAACTTTAAGATATCAAAATGTAATGATTTCATAAATTCTACATATCCCAGTTTTTCAAGTATCAAGGGGGAGAATGTTCAGAAACCTTTGCCTATATTTTCTCCTTTCTTTTCTATTTTAAAGTCTATAAAGATTTACTGTGAACAAAAGAACTGAATAAGAAATGAATAAAAGATGATGTAGTCAAGCTAAAAAGAAGGAAAACTCGTTGCTATCAAACATACATTGGGTTTTCTAAGCTTGTAAGCCATTCATAAGGGGATTGACCATGTATTTCCTATAGATTCAAACTGACAGAGAAGTGTGACCTTTGATTTAGCAGAGAAATTCCCTTTGGACTATACCACCAGAGCTTCCTAAGATAAAGGAAAGAAGAATTAAATTCTAGTTCTGCAACTACTAATCCTTGGGTCTTTAAATCATTTTAGCTTGGGTAAGCTAATAAAACTTTTATACAGTTGACTAAGGCAACAATGGCTCTAGACTTAAAATGCTTATTTAGGCTTCTTTATTTTCTGTTGACACTGTTATAGATTATTCTAACATATACTGAACCTATGAAAAATAGAAAAATGCTGTCCATTTTGTACAGTATCCACAGAACTTGTTATTTGAAGCCTATTGTTGAAATCTTGGTGTTTATTGATCTCCTTGAATGTCTTCCTCCTTTTCAATAACATTTTATTTCACAATTATATCTTTCTCCAAAGACTGGTTCTTCCTTGGAGTGTGCTCAAAATATATGAGATAAACATCTTGCAATTCTTGCTTCTGAGGAGCATTCATGTTGATATAGTGCTTCCAAGACAGATTCTGCGGGTAACTCATGGTATATTCAATATGCTTTTTCAATATTGGATTGAAAGACACAAATTCTTTCTCAGGCTTCTTGAATTGCTGAGCTCTCACATGCTGAAGAGTCAACTGAAAATGCCATGATTTGAAGAGGTATGCTTCTGTTTTTACAATGTCAATATTTTAAAAAGACTGCTGATATAGTCTATAGGAAGTTGTAGTGCTAAACCAAAGGTCCGACATGCCAGTTGCTTTCAATCCACGAGCAGCTCCATGGGAGAAAGAAGACCAATCTTCTCCTGAGGAGTTCACAGCTTCAGAAACCCTCTTGAGGATCAGCTATAAGAGAGCGCCAACTCATTGCCAGTCAGTTTGAATTTGAGTTTTTGCCGCAGATTTACCAAATGTAGTATATTGTTTGATTTTTTTTTTGTTACTTCCCTGACTGTTATTGTGGATCCAATAAAAATAAATCCTTGAAAAATTTCATTTTATCTCCAATTGTTATCCATTTATTTATTGGTTGATCCAGTTGCAAAGGTTTCTACTTTTTTTGTTGTTGCCATGTGATCCATATTGAAGGATCATTCATCTGTAAGAGCCTTGTATTCTCTTGATTTTTAGCGAAAAAGTTTGTTTCTTGTCATAACCATAATACCCAATCATATATCAATTTTAAAATGTTGCATAGTGGAGTGTACTCGGAGGGAGGGGGGATTGTATACCAATGAAAGAATTTTTCTTTTACTTTTCAAAGAGAGGCGTGAACTGGGGTGGGGGAGAGGTGACAGGCAGAAAAGTGCAACAATGAATAAATGGAAATCCAAAATTTCTGTAAACGTTCATTAAAATTAATTAAAAAAAAGAAAGGTGATTTTGTACACATATCATGAGCTATCACTGAGTCTGCCTTCAAACTGGATGTTATGTTCTTCTAATAGTATATTTCCTCAATTTTTTGCACAATATACAGAGTATACTAAAAGATGCTGTGTCTAAGTGCCCTTGTGTCAAGGATGACACACAGTGACTCTATGAACAACATATCTGAACACTGTTCTATCCTGAATTATCCTTATCATCCCTAACACATTTGAGCCCATTTCTGGAAACACTGCATCTGTCCATCCTGTGGAAGGTCTTCCTCTCCTTCATGGACCCTCTACCTTTCAAAACATGATGTTCCTGTCTAAGACATAGCCTCTCTTAACAACATGTCTAAAACATTTCCCCAATGAAGTACTCTGGTTTCACTTTCTCCAAAAAAAATTTTATTGGCTTTTATTTTTTTGGTAATTGATGGGATATTCAGAATTCTCCTCCAATATTGCACCTCAAATGCATTAATTCTTCTCCTGTCACTCTTATTTACTGTCCAGCTCTCAGATATGCAGCAGGAGATTGGAAAAATTGTGACTTGAATCAGACACACAGTCTGTGGCTTCCATTTTTACCCTGTTGGAGAAGTTTTTGGATGTTCATAGGGATTTGATTCTTAGAGGGTCCCATTCATCTATTTAATCTTCTGGTTGTAGATTTTTCAGGATACTTGGAAGACTGTTTATGTTGTGGATTAAGACTTCTAGAGTTCTTCCAAGCTTTTCTTTAATGAAGTTTATAGTCCTTGGTTTTAGTCCTAGGTCCATGATCCACCTTGAGTTGGTTTTTGTATGTGGAGTGAGGTGTGGATCTTGAGTCTTCTGCAGATACTTTTCCAATTTTGCCAACAACATTTGTTAAGAAGGCTTTCTTAACTGAGTTCATCTCCTTGTCAAAAATCAGTTGACTGTAGGTAGACGGGCTGATTTCCAGGTTCTCAATTTTATTCCATGATCTATGTGTCTGTAATTGTATGCTGTCTTAACCACTACAGCATCGTTGTAGGATTTAAAATCAGGAAGTGAGATGCCTCCTACCTTTTTTCTGCTTTTAAGGAGGGCTTTGTTTATTTGGGGCTTCTTTCTATTCCATCTCATTTAAAAAGGGATTGGTATTTGTATTGGATTTGCATTGAATATGTAAATTGCCTTTGGTAGTATTGCCATTTGCACAATATTGAATCCTCCTATCCATGAGCAAGGGATATTCTTCCACATCTCCAGGTCCCTTTTTTATTGCTAATTATTTTTATTTTCATAGAGAACCAATGGTGGGCAGAGTAGGTCTGTCTTAAGGAATTTCTATACTTTAATGTTTTCAGGAGCTGTGTGCTTGATTGGTTCATATTACCAGCCAAGCTTAACCCTTGCATCGCTATCTCATTCTTTATTTTATATTTTGTTTTAACATCTCATTCTTTATACTTTCTTTGAAACTAGGTGAGAAGATTTTGTGACATATTTGTCAAAGTATTCAGCTGCTAAATCACAAATCAGTGGTTCAAATCCACCAGCTGATCTACAGAAAAAAGATGATCCAGTCTGTACCTATAAGCATAAGAATTAAAACACTGAAACCTTATTGAGCAGTTCTGTCCTGTAAGTATCTTTATAAAATGTAATAGATGCAATTACATGTTTTTATTTCCCTAAATGTTTAACTTTCATTAATTCTGACAGTATAGAATGTTTTTATCATATTAATATTCTGAGGTATAATTCATAAAAAATCTCCACAAATAATATTATCAAAATAATTTACTGA